GATTATTATTTGTTATTTTAAATATTTTTTAAAGATGTTTAACACTTTTTTCAAATTTCATACATCAAATATAATTTCACCATATTTAGACACCTTCTTCTATCTATACCACCCTTAAATATCTCATTATGAACTTGTGTGTGTGTGTGTGTGTGTGTGCATATATCAAGGCCTAACAAGTCAAATTTCTGTCCCCAAGGGACCTTCAGTGCTGTTCCATGCCTTGGAGCCTGGTCCATCTACCTATAATCATACCCATAAAGCAGGCTGACAGTAGCTACCTGTCACCAAAAGTCCCTCAGCTACGGTTAGAGTTTCCCATCCACTTCCCCACTTCTATCACGGGATCTTTCTCTGTCTTGAACTTATGTGGGTCTTGTGGATGCTCCCACCATTGCTGTCTGTTCATTTGACCAACTGCCCAATGGTCTGGAAACTCTCTTTCCTTGTGGTCATTGAACACATCTGGCCCTTAACAATCTTTCCCACCCCCCTTTTCTTGTGACAAAATACTTTACAAAAGCTACGTAAAGAAGGAAGGATTTATTTCAGTTTACAGATCAAGGGTACAGTCCACCACGCAGGGAATAGCTGTTGACGCAGTTGGTCCCATTCCACCTACAGTGAGTAATCGGAAAGAGAGGAATGTTAATGCTCTGCTCACTTTCTCCATTTTGTTCAATCCAGGGCCTCAGGCCATGCAGTGATCCTGCCCCTCTTAGACGCACTCAGAGCTATGTTTCCTTTGTAATGCTACATGCAGTCAAGTTGACAGTGAAAGTTAAGCAGCACACTAAGACATCTGAGCTACCCATTTGTGTGACACCAAACAAGTGTTTTTGCCCTCAGAGTTTTCCTATATTAAATGAGGCTAGCAACTATCTGTATCATGTTAGAGTAGTGTTAGGAAATGAAATTTGTATATTAACACATGCCCTAAGACATATCAGTCACATATTAGTGACAATAGTTATGTCAGCAGTGTAAGAAAGTTAAAAGTGATGTTATTTGTGCTTTTGGAATATAACAACCAAAAATAAAATCACCTGTCATTCTTCATAAAGCTAAGCAATTACAGTAGCGCTCTCTTCTGAAGACACTGTTAAATTTTTAACTTACACTTAAATCTTGAAATTGGTGATGGCTTACCTGTAACAAGTAATTCTATTAGATACAACAAGTTATAAGTAACTTCATTTGTGGGAGTAGAGTTTAGGCTTAGTGGTTAAGAGCACTGTCTGCTCTTCTAGAGGACCCCTCTTCAATTCCCAGCATCCACATGGTGGCTAACAACTGTCTGTAACTCAGTTTCCAGGGAACTGATGCCCACCATGGACAGTGAACCCAAATAGCACACTTACATACATGCAGACGTAACACTCATACATAATATAAAAATAAATCAATACATATTACTTTAAATTTTTTAATTTATTATTTTTATTTTATGTATATGTGTGCATTGTCTGCATGTAGGTAAGTGCACCCATGTTGTGTACAATGCCTGCGGAGGTCAGAAGAGGCTGTTGCATCCCCTGGGACTGGAGTTATGGACATACATATTTTTAAAGTAATTTCATTTGCTTGCTTAATGCCCTGTGATGAATATCATTTTATCTAACTGGGTATGGTGGCACATGCCTTTAATTCTAACACTAGATAGGCAAAGACAGACAGATCTCTATGAGATCAAGGCCAGCCTATTCTACGCAGCAAGTTTTAGGGAAGCTGGGGCCATAGAAAGACTGTCTGAAATTCCCTCTTCCAATAATATAGTGCTGTCTACACAGGAGAAAAGGGAGTCTCAGAGATTTCCAGGACTGACACAGGGACCAATTCTGGTAAGATTTATAACACAGTCTACTTAAGTTCAAAATACACAGCCTTTAAATAAATTATCTGAAATTATTCTACATCACAGAGCAACATATAGTCCTGTAGAAAGCAGCTCATAATTAATGATCCTGGGAGGGAGATAGTATAAACATGTTTTTTCTGTGTGTATGTCACTGTTCATTTTCTGCTAAATGAGAAGACTGAGACGTAGAGACATGAATACAGATATAGAGATAGGTATATGCATTTCACAATGCATGATTATTTCTAGCTAGGCACTGTGTTCAAAAATGAAATCTCACAGGAAGTCGATGAGCCAGCAAATGACTGCCTGTTTTAACATGGCAGATGCCACAATAGCTGCCTATTTCTTGCTGAATGGCAAAGAAAATATTATCCTGAAAGATGGATATGGTCTTGTCAGTATATGAAATATGATAGTCCTAAAGAGAAAATAATGCATAGCTATGTTACCCAGTAATTCCCTGAATATTCGTGTCCTCTAGCTCCATTTAAAAAGGATAAATTGCTCCAAATCTGTCTGCTAGACTCATAAGGACCTCTGCACTGCCCTGGCTTGTCAGGAAATTTAATTTTCTAGTCAAATCAACCAGTTGTCCCTACACAGAGGAAAGCTGCCTTACGTAAACTGACTGGAAAGAGAAGAGGATGTAGAGATGCAGAGATCATGCTGGAAAAAAAGCAGCATATGATTCTTATGATTATCGTGTCCTGGAGCCAATTGACCTCCTGCAGGGACTGTATGGGGCCCACCTTCTCTGCGACATATCAAAGTCTACCATACATGCTTTGAAACAGTATCTATCTCTTCTGTGCATGGGGTCAGAGATGCCTAGGAACTCCTGCTTGCCTGACAGCTTTCAGAAGCACAGATATGTCTGTATCACCAAATCTTACTTGATCTGTCCATCTCCTCCTAGTGGTTCTCTGTACCTGGCCTGAAAACAGGAATGCTTAACGCTGGGCTGACCCTGCTGAACAGCCTCCAGTTTTCTTTACATGCGACTTTCCAAACAGTGACAATAATAGATGTGATGATGATCAGTTACAATGAGAATCACAGCTTGACTCCTGGGGAACTGGAATTACATCAGTAAAATTCTGTTTTCCCTGAGTATAATAGAGAAATTAAAAATCTGCAGAAACAATGTGGTGATTTGTGAACTTGGATTTCTACCTAGTCTAATTCAAGGTTACTTTCATTATGAAATGCAAAGCTTCTCAAACCTTATCTCTGGTTGATTAAGAACTTGCCATTCCAAAGTAAGCCCTACATTAATGGTATGATGAATATATAATTTTGGAATCCCTTATTCCTTAAAAATCTTGGTTTGGAATATTTCTGATTTTTGCTAGTTAGAGAAGAAATCTTGTCTAATCCAGGGTTAAAACTATGCCCATGATTGGACTTTCATTTAAACTAGTCTTATTTGCTTCTTTTACGTTCTGTCTCATGTTTAAGGATGTGAGAAAGGTACTTACGTTTCCTTACAGAGATAACGGAAGAACCATTAAACCAGTGCATTTATTCAAGTACTACTATACTTCCTCACAAAGATCCCACGTTAAAGTGATTCTTTTTCTCATGATACTGTCAGAAAATGGATGTCCATATGCATTTACTTTTCTGGATGTGTCCTGGCCTTGCATTTCACACTTGACCTTGTTAAAGATTTAATTCTCTCTTCTTAATGAAAGACATTCTCTAAGACTAAAGCTTATTGGTTTCCTTCAGAACTGAGACTGGCCAGCAGACCATTAGTCAAATCCATAGGAAGAGTGCTGACTTCTTAGGGGTTTTATTCTTCTGCAGAAAATTTATCTGTGTCCTTACGGTACACTCCTATTACACTAAATTTTAAAATAGATCGTGTTAAAAAGGGAGGATTTATGAATCTGAAAATAATTCTTTTCATACAATCTCCTGTTATTTGGGGCACTGACAGTTGTGTAAAGTTTCACTCTCAGCTTCATTGTTTTAGCACCCTCTATTTTTTTAGTGAATAAACAAAGGCTCTAGAAAACTCACTTTTCTAGAGTTTCCTGAATAAAGTCATCACATCCATGCCTGCCCTAGATATCAGTACTCAGAAATTGAAAATATTTGTATGACCTAACATCTGTGGTGTACATTAACTGGGCAAATCTGTAACATTATATTTCTGTATTCAATGATGTATTTTTTATCTTTCTCTCAAATATTTGTAAGACAGTATCTGAAAATATGTTTATATTCAAAAACATCATCAGCTAATAATTCATTCTTGGAGATCATCACATAATATCTGTTCAGTGTATTTTGGGAAGAACGTTATCTAGCTTGAAAACTTATACTCTCATTGGTGACTTTTAAATGTGAAAAGATGTGTAAAGTTCAACAGAAAACAAACAAACATCTCAATTTTTTCAGAAAAGTCCAGAAATCTTGAATAGAGTATTAGTTTTCATCCTGGAAAAAAAATCTGAGCAAAGAAATTATAAACAGAAGGCATTTTTGAAATGACACAGACAGATTTTTCTCTGAAAGAGACCAGGCCAGATATGCTGACCTATCAGGAATGCCTTGAACTGAAAAGGAGATAAATTCAGGGCCAAACACCAAACACAAAAATGAGACAGTGACCTCTAAATGCATTGACACAGTGGCCTTATAACTCTGAATTCTAATATATAATTCACCGTATCTGTCAGAGGAGACAGAATACAGATAATGCCTATGCAATAATAAATACTATTAAAGTAAAAAAATACAAAAGATTCACCAGAAAGTGCTACAAAAATCTTGCAATTTTGGATTTCCTTGAGTTTCCCAAAATCTGGAATAACTTGATTCATCTGGATGCTCTTGTCCCCAGGTATTGTGTACAGTTCTTAATATGTGACATAAATGAAGGTTCCCATGAATAAACACAGTCATGAAGAGACACCTACACACCCACCACTCCACAAACATTAACATACAACACACACACACATACATACATACACACACAAAAAACCTGATATGCACATAAAGAGTATGCCTTGACCACAATTCCTTCATCATGTGACCCCAGTCCCAAAGGCTGCTGTGTGCACATAATTGCATCTCTGTGGTGATTTGCTTGTCCTTTGTGATAGCCAGTGTGTCACCTGAGACATACCTGACAGGACTAGAAGTGACATCAGGGTCACGAGCGGTCACTTGCCCAATCACGGAATTCAGAGCAGCATTTTCATGAACTTCAAGCAGGTACGTTGGTGAAGAGAAGACTGGAGGCTCATCTGCATCCTCCACCACAATTTTGACTGTTGCTGTGTCTTTAAAAGGCCCCCTGCCACTGAAACGTGGGTCGATGTGGACATTGGCTGCTTCTACCTTCAGTGTATAGGACTTTTTGGTCTCAAAGTCCAGAGGCTGTTAAAAAATGACAAGGATGAATGCTTCTCACTAAACCACAGCAGCAAGAACAAATGAGTGTAATGCGGATGGATGGAAGTTATGCTCATTTAAGCCCATTTGTGACTCTTAATGGGATCCATTCTCTCAGATTCAACCTGTAAATTTTACAGGCATTTATTGATACTTGTTTATTGTACAAGCTCAGTGAGTCGAATCGCCTATTGTTTTGTTTTGTTTTGCTCATTTCACTTGGAATTCACAAAATATTCAGAGTCATGAATTGTAACATCAAAATCTCACTTCAGAGTCATAATAAAATTTTACTATTGATGACAGGACCTGCATGCTAATCAACCAGTTAACCAGGCCTCTGCTGGTTGGAGATAAGGCACCATCAAATACAATCTCTATTTGAGAAGAATATTTTATCATTTCTGCTACAGTGTGTGAAATGGAAAGGACTAGAAATAATCATTATTTAGTCCAAGGAGACATTGCAAAGCATAATTTAGCACTAATTCCAACAAAGAGTGCTCTATTTTATTCCCAAAACATTGTTACATGACTGATTGTGTGGCTGAAATGACATTTATTATTTTTAAGACATTCTTAGAAGGTCTCTGTCATACAGGCTCTGCTATAGAGCAACAGACATATAAAGAGATATGCTAGCACATATAACCTATTTTTGTATTGTGAAGTGTAAAGGTAATATAAATAGAATTAACTAGGTCTGACTTTGTCTGCACTAACCACTTAAAAAACAGTTTGAAATCCCCTCATTGCTCTATTACTGATGATATTTCTAAAATAGGAATGATTCATTCCTTTACAATGCAAAAGACTTTTGTCAATGACCTGGGTAAATAGAGCTTGCAAGAACAAACAGTCAATCCCCTTATAGAAACCAGAAGACCATCTGTATCAGAACCCTACAGCCAAATTCTTGGCAACTTCTAATATTCCAGATTTCAAGAACGCAAGTGTGTCAAGATTCTAGCAGATAGTTTATATCTGCCTTACAATTTCTCAGGAAAAAGAGAATTTTAAATCTGAAATGCAGATTTTTAGAAAATAAGAAGCTGGAATAAAATCTAGCAAGAGGGACGTCTTACTGAGCACTCGCACCGGCTGAAATATATATTCTTACTTCAAACATTTGTGTTGATTTTTGTATATGATTTCAGATGTAATGCAGTTTAGCTTTTCCCCCAATATTTTCTAGTAAGCATTGCCAACACACTTTCGTGTTGATTCTGAAATAGCTATGTGCATGCATATATTCATGAATAGGTGTTCAGGGGTATGATAAGCACATTCACAATTTACCAATCACCCCTCCTGTAACAATATTGCAATTCCCAGCACCTATCAAAGCTGTTCAGCTTGTGTTCAGTTTAAAGTTTTAATGGCATTTTTAATTAACAAGTATTTATTATGTAGATTTTAAGGTACAGTGTTATTCTTTGGATATACATATATCATAGGGAATTTCAATCAAGTCAATCAGCTTAGCTATTAGCACATCAATTTAGCGTTGGGGAGGTAGATATTAAAGTTTATTCTATCAATGTTGAACCATGTAATATGGTTTTATTAACAATGGCTTTATGTTGTATAAGGTATCACCACTGCTTCTCCAGTCTGTTATTTTTGAACTCTTGGACCATTATCTTTACTTTCTTCACCCCTCCTCCATTCTCAAACTTTACCCTCAGGTAGCACACTGACTTCTTCTCCAAAGGATTTCTGGGTCCCCTCGTAGAAGGGGCTTGAGGACCATGGCTATGCTTAAAAACTAAGTTTCCTTGCATCTGACTCCATAATTTGTTTCAGCAATAACTCCAAACCAGAATGTTCTCCTGCAAGTCCTGTCTGACTCTTTCTGACTAATTATTTTTAAAACATTATTATTTTTATTTTTTTATGTGTATGAGTATATTGCTTGTATGTATGAAAGTGCAACCATGTTGTGTAATGCCAGCAGAAGTCAGAAGAGGTCGTCATATCTCCTGCAACTGGAGTTACAGACATTTGTTAATCACAATGTGGGTGCTGGGAATCGAACCCTGCCCTGTTCCAGCATAGCCAGTGCTCTTAAGTGCTGAGCCATCTCTCCAGTCCCCTGATCAATTCTTAACTGGGCTTAATTACAATATGCCCAAACGTACTCAAGTGTCTTTAGGAGTTTATCAGACAAAAACTTGCATCAATGATCTGTAGAAATTTGACTCTTTGCTCATTGTATTCTGAAGCACATTTCTTTGTTTCAGGGTATCAAGGTACAGAGCATGTGCCTCCCACTGTACGAATAATAGTGAATAAAATCACAGCAAACAGCTAATTGTCTCAGTTTATAAAAGCACCCAACAGGAAGAAAGGGTAGCAGTTAAGAAAAGCAATAAAAATCACATTAAGAATTGTTAGCCAAGGAAATCATGACTCTGGATTTATTCAGCAATTGACTTAAGCATAATAATCCAGTACTCTACTACAAATGTGAGCTTTAAAATATTTTCCAACTCTTAGTTCAAAGCTCCAGACCATATTCTGACATAAGCTTAATGTTGCCCATTGAAGAATTAAATGCAGCCATTTTTCCCATTGATTTTAAGCACTTCCATTAAAAATATTATCCAGAAAACTCCAGGTATTTGTTGTTAATAAGATGGAAGTCAAGAGCAGTTCACCTGGATGTATATTTTTACGATTCCAGAGACAGAAGCCTATGGCCTTGCGCATGAGAGGCAAGCACAGTACCACTGAGCTACATCCCAAGTGGAGGCATCATGGATGAGGCATTACATTTTATGACATAAGGAATCACATAATAATCTTACTGTAATTTCATTTTAATGCTGATAAGGACAGTGGGGAAATTTTATTCTTTTCCAATAGGGTGGCCCACTGTCTATCTTCTTATTCCCTTAAAATAAAAGTGTGAAAATAACATTGAACAAAGTATCATGTTGTAGACCATGGAGGATCACCCTATACTGGAGAAGGTCTGTACTAACACATGATGAACTCTTTGCTGCACATTTCTTATAAAGGTAGAGCTCATGACAAGGACCACAAATAGAAAATGAATAAAATCTGTTTAGATATATATCTACATATAGTTATATGTGTACATTATATATATATATAATCACAACGAAGTAAATTTTTTTAAAAAGGTCACTTGTAGAAAGGATCAATTTGTGGCTATTTTTAAAACTACATCTTTCTGTATTACCAGTCTCACATCCAGAACAAGGAAACCATGGGTTTTATTCCCTAAAATTATTGGAATATTGATTCATGTCTTATAGTAAGCCAATAGTATTAGGGTTGGCCTTGACCTTTGCACTCCAGAGCTGTCCAAGTACCTGAACCTGAGCATTCTACTTGTCTTTGGGTCTCCCTGTAAGCAAAGGACTTTCATTAAGGACTTGTGAAATGTCAATGTATCTGGATAAAGCATTTCAAGAAGCAAGGCAGCAGAGAAAGAAGAATTATATAGGCAAAGACTACAGTCTATTGAACTTGTCACTTCTGAGGAGATACTGAGACTTGTTCCCACTGAGAACCCTCTTAGACTGTAAGAAACATACTCTAGGTTTGTTTTGTTAGCAGTATCAACTGTCCATCTATCTTTGCTCTCCACTGGTTGAGGATTTTCTTCAGGGCAATAACTGGTGTCCTGGACCAAGACCGAGTGATTTATTTTGGCTTAGTTTACAAAAGTGAGGTGTGAATTTGGAAGGAAACAGTGATTCGGAGGCCAGCTACGGCATGGTAATTGTTTACCAGAGTGATAGCTGAAATGAGGTATGGGCCCAAGGGCCTGGAGATGTTGAATGGATTGTTATTTTACTGTAGCTCATTCTGCTCAGCTAAAATACAAATGTCCACCGGCTCTAAGTTTCTGTCTGTCCACTCAGCATCAACACATGACAAAAGCCAAGTTTCTATGAGATATTTCAAATATCAAAAAGATATTCCTTAGCTTACCTTTCTTAGTCTTATAATGCCATCCTGGGCCTGAGCATCAGAGGTGATTTCAAACAGTGCTGTTCCATCTCCATCAATGATGTCATAGGATGACTGTGCATTTTCACCAATATCCTGGTCATTGGCTTTGACTCTTCCTATTGCAGTGCCAAGAACCACATCTTCTGGTACTGAGAAGTGGTACAGACCTTAGGAAAGAGGAGACACAGTATTACATAAGCTCTCCCTATTCACTAATTGCTTCATTTGGACATTCGTTCTGGACATTCTTATAGATGCTTCCAAGACAGTGATTGATGGGAAATAACATTTATCCCTCCTGTGAAATACGTAGTTATTTTTTTAAAAAAATCAGAGACAGATATCTCTCCATAAGAGTGAACTATCTTCAACAATAAGAAACTTATTCATCCATATGTTTACTGAGTATATTTGGAGTAGCTATATCAGAAAATTAGTGAGTCTATGTTAAATTTCTTTCCAATTTACTGTATAATCACACTGCCCGCCTGTGGGGATATTCATTGTTGCCCAACATGAAATATTAAGCTAATTTCAGCACAGAAAGATGCAATATGTAAGATGCTGAAAGTCACTTTTGAACTTACTTTTATATTTACAGACTTGTAGAACATTTTTGATAAAATCCAATTACTAAACTTCTGCTGTGCCCCACAGCAAGCTGTTCAGACACATGAAACACTCCTCTTGTTACTAAAGTCTTCATTGCTCAGAAGACTAAAATCCTACCTTCATAAGTCTCTAGGCAAAATACAATTACAGCATATTTTCATCCTCCTATGGGGACAGTAAAACATGTCTAATTAGTGGCATTTGTCCTATTTTTATTCTGGTCTCTGTGTTGTGATGTTTGTGGCAGTCACTTTCATAGGTGCAGTGAAAGCTGATAGTGCTTCGACCACTATCGCTGACCATTATCACATTACTGCTCACCTGCCCTACATCTGTCTACCAGCTCCTGGACTTCTATGCCTCAGGGTTTTCTCTGGCCTTCAGATTCCATTTTACCCACTGCGTATCAGGCTGCAAGTAGTGTAAGGGCACTTATTTCTCCCAAAGCAGCAGTCATCAAAGACTCACAGGTGTTAGTATATAAAATCCTAACTCCCCCTTTCCCTGACAGGATAAATTTGAATTATTTCCTTTCTATTTTATTTCTTTTCAATAGTCCAGATTTTTCTCAGTTGAATAAAGTTAACATTCACCAACAATGCAAAGTGGGTAGATCATGTGCACACCCTGGCTCACTATCCTACACTCTCACCTCCCAGATGATGTTTCTTGGGGAAGTTAAATTACTTATAATCAAAAACTTGTCTCAGGGCCTGTTTCAGACAAACCCAAACTCAGACAACCAAGAAGCTTGAGGCTTTTGCAATCACAGCAAGGGAAAAATAACCATTCAATGAACAATAAACCCAAAAGGAAAAATTAAATCTGGGGAACATTACCTAATTCTAGTCTGAACTCAATCACTGAATCCCTCGGATAAACCACGCTTCATTTTACCCAATAGAATGAGATTAGTTCATTTGATGAGCAAAGTTTCTTCATGCTCTTTTACTTAATGATGAGATAAAGCTATCTCCTGGAATCATGAAGGAAACAAAGCATTTTACAAATAGTTTCACCTTAGAAAGTGATAATCATCCTCCTGAACACAAGTTTCCCCAATCTTTCATAGTTGGTTAAGTGATTACATTTTCATCACTAGGCAAGTTTGCTATTCCAGGTGAGTCTGGAGATTATCCCTTTGGTATGTTTACTAAACAAATAGCCAATGAGGGGGTCTTATCCTGCTGCCAGTCCTACATCAAGGAGCCCTGGGAAGTTAAGCAAAAGGAACATTACTCTATCCAATGGCATTGAGTGTGTTCTCATCTCTGTCCGTATGAAGAGTTAATAATCATTACCTCTAAAAGTCAGAATGTTTTAGAAACTCACCTACCACCATTGAATTGAAATAATCATCTTTCTGCAAAAGATGAGCAGCATATTGCTGCATTAACAATAATGACAACTGAAAGAGGAGTAAGAGACTGGAGGAAAGAATGGGAAAGAGGACGCCTTTGGTTCCGTAATTTTTCTTAAAGGGGTCATATCGCTGACTAACTCATGGATGGCCAGATATGAAAGTTATAAAATAATAAACAAAAGATATCTCTGTACTTTCTATCTTGAAAATTTTAAATCTTCAAATGCTCATAAAACATGTCATTTTAGAGTTCCATCTCTCTCTCTTCTATCACCTCCCCTATTTGCTCTCTCTTTTTTGATCCTGTTCGATTGATTACAAAATTTCATATTTTGATCACATTCAAACCTCCTCCCTTTCTGCAGTCCGTCTCAACTACTCCCAACCCCAAAGATTTCATATTCTGCATTATGATTTATCCTTTAATTTAATTTAATTTTTGTTTTTCTAAAGTCCTGTATCTTTCCTAATCCATGTTTCCCAAGAGCTCCTGGGTATGAGCCCATGCCCTGGAGTCTGATCAACCTACCTTGTGTCACACCAGTAAAGAAAACCAACTCTCCCTTTTCCTGTATCCATCAGTTGCCAATAGATCCTCAGCTAGGACTGTGCTTCCCCCATCCATGCTGGGCCCTTTCCGGCTTGGGTTTACACAGGTTTTGTGCATGCTATCATAAGCACTGTGGATTCATATGTGCAACTACCCTATGCACTCATATGTGCAACTACCCTGTGGTGTTCAGACAACACATTTTCTTGTATTTATCTACCATCTTTGAATCTTACAATTTTTCTGTCCCCTCTTCTGCAGTGGTTATTGAATCTTTAGAGGAAAAGGCACAATATAGGCGTTCCATTTAGTTATCAGCACTCCACGTTCTTTTGTTTTCTGGAAGCTGACTATTCATGCTCTTTCTTTTCAGATCATAGTTTTCCTGTGGTTTTTCATACCTGCAGATAACTCGGGAGGTACTTACTGCTGATATCAGAGATATGTCCTCTCCTTTAATTCATATGCAGCCAATCCTTAGACTTTGCTTAATTACCATCTAGGCAGTTATTACTCCCATACTTCATTCCACTTGCATCACTACCAACTCTGTTTCCCAGGGTTCCCAACGCCTTTTAGGTGACTGTACATGTTCCTTTTAAGGTCTATGATATGGAGAAGGGACCAAAAGACCTGCTTGCTTTCTTCCTTCTTTTCCATTCTAAAAAAAATGATCTCTGGACATTGGGGGACACAAATAAGACTCTACAGGCCATATTATTCTCTGGAACTCAACTCTATCACTTCACATACAGATCTTACACTAAATACCATGGTCTGCAGATACAAGCACTACTTCTCTTTGTCTAGCATCATTGTTCTGTGCTTTGTGGTAATCTCATCTCCTGGTCTTCTTGGTCTCAATGAATGCAAAATCCTTATCATTTTTCTATTGTATATTTTTACAGGGAACAATAAGTTATTGTGATATACAAAATCAATGGCTCAGAAAAGTATCTCCACATAGATGTTATGGCAACACTAGCTATAAGGATATAGAAATAAACTACATGTCTATTGATGAACAATTAGATAAATAAGCTGTGGTGCATATGTACATACACACACACACACACACACACACACACACACACACACACGTGTACCAGAGTATTTTTCAGTCTTAAAAAGCACGCCTAACCTTGAAAATAAATAAGCTACATGGGAAAATTTCCATAAAGTTTCACTTATATGTAAAATCTTTAAATGTACATGTTTTAAGAACACACACACTACCAGAGTATTTTTCAGTCTTAAAAAGCACGCCTAACCTTGAAAATAAATAAGCTACATGGGAAAATTTCCATAAAGTTTCACTTATATGTAAAATCTTTAAATGTACATGTTTTAAGATGTATGTGTGCTTTCATGAACACATGTGTGTACATCTGTGTTTTCTTAGCACCAGTGTCTATTTTTCTCCCTTAGTTTCTTGATTCCATCATCCTCCAGCTAATCTGATTCATACTTCAGTTCTCATTGCAAGAGTCCTCCCTTCTGGAAGGCCTTGCTGAATCATTGCTCTGTGTCCTATTCCTTGGAAAAATGTTCAGAAGAAGTGTTTCATGAGGGGATGAGCACATTGGCAAACAACAATGTTATCCCTGAATCACTGATGGTACCTTAAATGCTGTTCAGGTTTCCAAAGCCAAGCAGAACCTAGCAGGGTGGAAACAGTAATTCCTGAGGTCTCTCCCAAGGCGGGAAGGGGAATGTCTGCTTTGAAGCAGGCTCACTGCCTGTTTTGCCTCCCCACTGGAGACTTGATTTCTTTTATACAACAATGTGTTTAAAAATGGATCAATATCTGAACTGAATTTTTATCAGTCTTTAAAGGTCTTTCTGATTCTGTTACTTACTATACCCTTAATATTTGGAGTTTTTCTCAATGTCTTTGAAATAATTGAAATGGAAATAAATGTATGACTTCCCATACCTTGCAAATAATCACCTATGGTTGTTTTGGGGACTGTAGTGGAAAAATTATAATCATAATTCAAGTGATTCTCATCCAGTTCACTTACTTTGTGCAAATTTTGGAGGATTGTCATTAACGTCAGTGAGGGTCACCGTAAGTGTAGTGGTTCCAGACAGGCCGCCAGAGTGTCCACCCATATCTTTGGCTTGGATTACGACCAGGTATTCCTCCTTGGCTTCTCTGTCCATGTTTGGAAGGGCAGTTTTTATAATAGCTGATGAAGAAAAATGGAAGAATGTTCTTCAGGTAGTGCATTCATTAAGCAATGAACATAACACTTGCACACATGCACTTAGAGAGAAAGAGTGAGAGAGAAAGAGTGAGAGAGAAAGAGAGAGAGAGACTCATGTGCATAAACCAAGTACCCACTCAGATAATTTCTCGTTTTCTGTTGATATTGAGCTATTGCATATCTGTAATGTCAATGCTAAGAACAACTATAGTCATGGGCATTAGGCTATCCATATAAACTGCAAAAGTACCTTTACAAGGCAAAAAAAAAGAGAAGAACTTGCAAAAATATAATTTAGAAAACAAACTGCCTACCAAATTAAAGTACAAATCACAACACATCTTCATCTACCCAACAAAACCCCTGGAAGTGAAAGAGTAATACAATTTATCATAGATCCCAATTCCCTCAGAAGATGAGTAAATCAACAAATAGCTTGAAGGCTCTATGGTCAAAGATAAATTATTCTACAGCTCACCAAACATTACAAAGGTGAAAGAAATAAATACCTTATTAGAACCAACTCAAATGAATAAACCGCTAATCAGAACTAACACAAACAAGGGTTTAAATCCTGCGGTGCTTTAATTTTAATTTTATTTTAATGGTTTAGTTCTCTCTGTTTAGTTGCATCTTCTCTAGTGTAAAAGAAACAACCGTTTCTAGGAAATGGACAGATACATAAAAGAGAAAAGTTAATTACAAATAAAAGAATGTGAAACCACCACTGCTATGATGTTAGTTTAATTCTTAATGATATATAATTTAGTGTTTCACGTGGATATTTCTGTTTTTGTTAAAGATTCAAAATGTACTCATATACCTCTGAAGTTATTTTGAAAAATTCTTACTTACTCCTCTCTTTACTTGCAAGTCTTTATTCATTGATTAAATATTGCTTCCAACACCATAATACCATAAATGTAGATCATCTCCTTTCACTTCTAACTGATAATGCTATAAATGCTGAATTCAAATTGCAGTAAGGCTCTCTCTGGGCCACATCTGAAACTGTAATTATTATTACTATTATTATTATTATTGTTATTATTATTTTTATTGTGTGCGTGTGTGGACATGGGCATGTCATGGCACATGTTACCAAATTACTGGATGGGCCCTGGGTTATACCCACTGGCTCCCAGGAAGATGAAACTGGGCCAGACTGACAGAAATGAATCAGATTATTTTTATTTTATGTGTATGGGTGTTATGCCTGCATGTAGGTAATTGCACCCATGTCATGCAATGCCCACAGAGGACAGAAGAGGCTTTCAGATCCCCTGGAACTGGAGTTATGGACAGTTGTTAGCTGCAATGTGGGTGCTGGGATTTGAACCCAGGTCTTCTGCAAGAACAACCAGTGTTCTTAACTGCTAAGCCATCTCTCCAGCCCTGAAACTGTGCTTTCTTGTCATGTTATTAGACCCTCACATCATTTTTATATCAAGGCTGTTCATACACTGAGTACTTAGTGTATTACACTGATTATTTGGAAATATTTATAATAGTATAATGCTATCTTTCAAGATTATTGTTTTATTGTTTGATAACCTCATAATATGCCTCAGTGATCACTGAATATTTTTAATAAAACAAAGAATAATAATAGAACTATAATCACCAATGAGTCAATGTTGGAA